GTAAGTGACCATGCGCCCGAGATGTCGAGATAATAAGTGCGAACAGCTCCAAGATAATCATCGTGAGAATTTCCAAATACGAACAGCATGTGAACCATGACCGCAGCGGGTCCAGCAACGCCAACTTTCGCCGAAAGAATTTCCTAAATGATTTCACATAGGCAAGTTGCGGGGAAGCATTGCCCCATTGAGTCAGACTGCAGGCTCAAAAGTTGGGGAACCAATCCACTTCCCCGCGGGGGAAACGAAAGCGAGTTGGAGGATGCAATGATCTAGACTAAGATAGGCGAGGTATCCCGCGGGATCGAGATAGCGCAGGGTTGTGTAAGGCAGTGTAGCATTGGCCAACAAGCCTTTGCGTGCCAACAACTCCCTCGTGGATCCCAAGTTCCCCAACTTTCTGAGTCTTTTTCCGTCTACGGCTGGAACACCGATCCCGCCGGCCTGGTCGGGAATACCCACCTCTCAAGTTTAAAGTGGTCATCCCGCGGCGCAAGTTGCCTTGTTGAGCTAGAGGACTCGCCGGGCCGTGGATCTTCGCCGTGTGATGAAGTCGACCCCCGCGTCCTTTGCGGCGAAAAAGGGGTGTGACGGTCCCCGAGATATCCCCACGATCTGTCACTCTAATGCGGCACCACACTATTGCCATCTACTACCGTGTGTCTTGGCGCATCGGTGCCCCCGCGGATTTGGTCTTCGCTTGCCTTGCATCCCATCTTTTCCGCCCCGCTTGTACATCTTTGGGGGCAAGACACTTCAGCTATTCTTGACAGCGCAGATGAAGGAGGGAGATATTGGGCACTTGTGACGTGCATAATGCGGAGAACGTGTCGTAACGAGTGGAGGCGAGGCCAAGCGGGCAGTCTTTCCTCTTCCGCAACAGCCGCCTTTCCAAAGTGGGCATCATCTCGCCGGTCTATGTTTTGCCATTCTCGTGACTTTCATGTCTTGAGTGTCCCCATGGTGGCTGCTTATTTAGTTCAAGAGATGGTCCAGCCCTGAGCCGAGAAAGAAGCAAACACCAAACACCACCACTCCAACTTCAACCACTTGTCTCGTCTACTTCAGATCTTTTGGGATCTAGCAACAGACATGGCGCTGGAAACGATTTCAACATTTTCGCATGCCCCCTATGCGGCGGGCTTCTTCTTCGTTGCCTTGTCTTATTTTATCATTTACCCTCTCGTCGTGTACTTTAAGGACTCAAAGGGTAAGCCTCGTCGCCTCGGACATCGGATGAACGAACACTAACAAAACAGGTATGCGCAAGTTCGAAAACTTCAGCACATTTTCCGGCGCTTCCAACATTCCCTTCATGATCCTGGCCCGCACCGGCGCCCGATCGACACATCTCGTGGAACTTCACAAGGAGAAGGGTCCCATTCTCCGCACCGGCCCCAACTCCCTCTCCTTCAGCGATGTCCGCGCTATCAAGGACATCTACGGTCACGGAACTCCTTGTATCAAGGATGAGTCCTACGACTTGACTGCCGGCTCTCACTTCCACCTCGCCGATGTCATTGACAAACACGACCACGCCAGGAAGCGCAAGGTCCTCTCTTCGGCTTATGCTCTGAAGAACCTCGAGGGATGGGAACACAAGGTCGCTGATAAGGTCGAGAGACTCTTCAAGCAACTTGACGAGCGCTGCACCGGCCCTCTCCCTAAGGGCCAGATGTTCCCTGCTCCTGAGGACCTGACTGTCGACTATCGCAAGTGGTCCAACTTCTTCACCCTTGACGCTATCGCCGATATTGGTGCTTCTGAACGCTTGGGTCTTCTTGACAGGGGCCACGACAGGGTTCTCGCCCAGCACAAGGATGGAAGCACATGGGAGGTTGGCCTTCGCGACTCTCTCTACCCCACCGCCCGCAAGCAATCCCTGCTCCTCTGGTCCTACGAGAACTACAAGCTCATCGACAAGCTCTCCAACATCATCCCCTACTACCGCAAGATGACCGAAGCCTCCAAGGGCTGGGACGGCATTGTGCTCCAAATCTCCTCAAACCGACTCAAGCGCTACAACGCCGGCGAGAAGCTCGATGACTTCTTCCAGGCTCTCATGGAAAGCAAGAACGGCGAGCCCAACAACCTTGAGTGGGGTGAGATCGTCGCTGAGATCAACATCATGATGAACGCCGGCAGCGTCACCACCGCCATCGCCGTTACCAACGTCCTCTACCAGCTCCTCAAGAACCCCAAGTACCTGCAGCGCCTCCGCGAGGAAGTCGACAGTGTACTTGATGCCGACGAAGTCATCGCTCCTTACGATAAGGTCAAGCACCTTCCCTACCTGCGTGCCTGCCTCGATGAATCCCTCCGCCTATTTCCTCCAACTCCTCAAGGCCTGATGCGCAAGACCCCTCCCGAGGGCATGTACATCATGGGCGAGTGGGTGCCCGGCAACACTACCGTCAGCATGTCCGGTGTCGTTGCCCACCGTGATGAGACTATTTTCCCTGATGCGCACAAGTACGATCCTGACAGGTGGCTTGGAGAGAAGGGCAAGGAGCTTCAGCCCTACTTCCTCGCCTTCTCTGCTGGCGCGAGAGGCTGCATCGGTCGCAACATCTCATACCTGGAGCAAGCCGTGCTGTTGGCTTCGGTTGTCCACAGATATGAGTTCGCGTTGCCGAGGGACTTTGAGCTTCAGCGCGAGGAGACGATGAACTGGCTTTTGGGTGAGATGCCTGTCAAGATCTGGAGGCGGCAGTTGGAGGGTGAGGCAAACTAGATTCCCAGGGTATATAGACTAACGATTTATGGTAATGGACTTGGCGTTGGAGAGTTGAACATCAAATTGATTAAGTGCTAGAATTTTTCTGATCCTGTGACCTTTTTCGTTGTCTTATGCTTGAAATAATCATGAAGACTTTCGAGCAGAAGAGCTGCACGAATAGTAGCTTCATCAATCAGGCCATCTGTATGGACAGACAGACCTAGGATCATGACGTCTTAAGTCTCCCACAAGTCAACAGTTTGCCCGAAAAGTAGGTAGGAAGTCCCGTAAATTTCACAAGCAAGTCCGTCACGGCTCATGCCAAAGTATCTTTAGTAACTCTAACGTCATCATCACTACAAAACGGACGAGGCTTTTCTTTTGCTTAGATGATGTTGTTACGACTGGAATTTGACTTCCCAGATGCAAGTCAAATACGAAAGCCTTGCGATATCATTCGTCGTGATGGCAGTTGGCCTCCGACGTAAACTTTGAGTCTCGGCAAACACCGAGCAATTTTGAGGAAGGCTTGCGTGAGCACCACGACCACCCCGCCATTGTGAGGAGTAGAAATCAAAAAACATTTATTATCGGCAGGCACGCAACAACCAGCCTCAGTCTCCATCAGGCGATTTACTTCTTTCTCCACAACCGCATAATTACCAAGACGGGTATCTCTCCAACGATCACCCTAGATCCTGCCGATGCAGATGCAGGAAAACCGAAAGTTGTGGAGCTGCACCCATCTGGAGATGCTATCAACGTCATTGTCGGCCCTGGTGGGGCTGAATGTCACGGTCGGTTTCTTGTATCTTTTGCTACATTAAGCCTGGCTTCTTCGTACTTCAAAAAAGTTTTTGGGCCCAATTTTGAGGAAGGCGCAGACATTCGAAAGAGCATGTGTCCTGAGATTACCCTCGAGGAGGACTGGCCCGAGGAAACGGAAATCCTTCTCTCGATACTTCATTTCCATAACCTTCATGACTACCGGTACTTGGATCCAAGAACAGTCGCTCTAATAGCTTACCAAAGTGACAAATACAACTTTGCCAGCGCGCTCGTTCCATGGGGCTTCAAATGGTTCCATGGACTTGGACAACTTGACGACGAGGATTATGGGTACCTTCTCACGGCGGTCTACTTGCTGGATTCGGATGACGTTTTCAGAGCAGTTTTGGACACAGCCATCCAGCATATGACACCCGACTTTCGTGCTGCCTGGGAAAACAATGAACTTATTGATCGACTTCCGCAGCAAATGAAGAGCATTCACCCGTATCTCTAGTTCAGGAATCAGATAAAAATATTGTATAGATAAGGTCGAGCAGCTGTCAATCGACACCCTCAGAAAAATGTACGATGCCATCTATGTAGTTGAACGGTCACTGCAGAACAGGACAAATGATGTCTACACTATGCGCGGGAGAAGACTACAAGCCAATTGCACAGCGGAGGCGCGGGTCGCGGCTCACTTCAAAGCACTACGACAAGAGAACCTATGGCCTCCTTCTCGTCTACGTATCTCAGAGATTGCGGAAAGAGTCAACCGTCTAAGCGAGTATAAATGGCATGAATGCAGTGGCGAGCGAGTCTGTGACCTGAAAAGGGAGTTGCGCGAGGTACCAGGGAAGATCGACATTATTGTTAAGAGTCTTGAAGGGATCTCGATCAAGTCGATTTGCGAGAAGGAGTGAAACGCCCAGTCTACAGTTTCATACGATTACTGATCATCGACATTTGCAATATAGTTATCAACAGTATGGAATGTGAATCTGTCGATACTTTGACTCCGGTTGCCACATGATCATTCAAATTTGTACACGCGAACGCACTTCGAAAATATTGGTAGACTCAAGGCTGCATTACTCTGAAGTTAAACGCAGGAAGTGACCAGGTTACAGTAACCACCCGTCAACAGACGCGATGGTTGACGGTCTAAACCAACTCCTGTCACATGTCTGTTTCTACTTCGACAGATATTGGGCAGTCCAGAAAGTATAAGCCCTTCCGATGTCACGATTATGCCTTCGCCTTTGACTTCTCGACTGCAGGCCCAACCACGACGCTTGTACAATCGTAATGGGCTCGCGAATTCCAATGCTTAAAGCAATAGAAGGCCTCCGACGTCGAACTTTGAAAGAGGCCGAACTCTAAAGATTCAGTAAGCATATTTCACATTCCCGCTCCTACCGACTATATCATGCATGAGGAAACCTGTAGCACCCACACCTTCCAGGATTCATCTCTTCCCATAATTGTCTAAGATCCAACCACACGCAGAATGAACGTTACGCCTGCTTCTAGCACTCAATCCATGGAGTCAGCCACCGAGGACCCGGAGATTGTCAAGCTGCACCCGTCTGGAGATGCCATCATCGTAATCTTGGATCCCAACAACAAAGCCCACGGTCGCTTCTTGGTTTCTTCTGCCACTCTCTGTTTGGTCTCGCCATACTTCAGAACGCTTTTTGGTCCCGATTTCAAGGAAGGGTCTGAAGTCCGACAGGTAAAATGCCCCGAAATTAGTCTCGAAGAAGATGAACCCAAGGCAATGGAGAAACTCCTGTGCATCCTCCACTTTCATCGCCTCGGCCGCTACCAGGCGATGGAACCAAGGACAATTGCATTGCTTGCGCAGCAAAGCGACAAATACGACTGTGGCCGCGCTCTGCTCCCATGGGCAGGCCTGTGGTTCAAAGGCGTGGGAAAGCTTGCGAGGCCAGAAGATTATGGATGTTTGTTGACGGCAGCCTATCTGCTCGACTTGCCGGAATGGTTCAAGATCATCTCAGCCACCGCGGTAAGATACATGCCGGCCGACTTCCTAATTGCCTGGTCCAAAGAGAAGATAACTGAACGGTTATCCTGGGAAACCAAGAGTAAGAAACACACCTCTTTCGTCTTTGTTACGGAGAATCTAACACAATTCTGGTATAGATGCGATTGAAAAGCAACTACTAACTACATTGGCCCATGTACAACAGAAATTATTCGCCGTAGAGAAGACTGTGAGAAACGATACATCCTACTCCATCAGCGGCCGACAATGCTGCAATGGTTATGTTATTTCGTACTGTGGGAATGAGGTCAGAGTGGCGGATTATTTTCTGGCGCTACGAGAGTGTGGCCTGTGGCCTTCTATAACAGACTTTCCGGCGTGCAGCATTTCCGACATCAATATTCGAATCCACAAGACAAAGAGTTTTAAAGGACATGATTGTAACGCAAAGGAAAAGTGCATCCTCAAAAGAGAGTTGCAGGTATTGCCCGAACACATCGACACAATCATGGGAAGAATCAACGGGGCCTCTATTCCGTCACGTATTAGCAGCAGAGAAATCTGAGATAAGGAGATAATTGTCTTAAAACCATCGCAGAAAGCCTCTTGTATTGCAGCTCAATTGCGCGTGAATATCTTCGGGTATGCGCTCAAATTTTGTGGATGAGGTGGGTCCCAAAATGCTCAATATTGGTGACAAAGTTGAAGCCAGGCGGCCATCTCGTCGCACCAGCTCCGTTGATTCATTTCAGATCACTCCCTCATAGTCTTTGAGAGGAACTTGTCATGATTCTTCAGTTGGAGTCCTACTCTGAAAAGGTTTCTGAACGTACATGCGTCGATGCTCACTTTGCAGGCGGCAGGCGGAGACGATGAGCGACGACGACGATGGCTATGAGAACGACAAGTTCGTGGAGTTTAGCAATATCAAAGCGCTAATCAATACGAATTGCCGGCCTAAAAGTTGACTGTTAAAAGTCAAGTCCCGAAAGGGTCAGAATTGTAGTTGCAGAAGGCTTGCGAGAACTCTGAACTGCACCCTGTGTAGTCTTTTTCATGCAGACAAAATCTGAGACTACCTTCTGCAATCAATTGAGCCTTGTGTTGTTATTCTAAGAGAGCTTCATGATATTCGACTTCTGGACGTCACTTAAAGGTTGAGGTTTGACAACTAGCAATGAATATTGGATTTGGGGACCAACGATCTTGTTCTGTGGGGAGCAAGAAACGGCATTGTCACAGATACCTACTGACGTATGCAGTTCAAGGGTGAGAAACAACCTTGCCCGGTGATTCAACCATGCTTCACAGCATCTATTCGGTTCGTCTTGCGCGGAGAATTACGGACATCGGGCCGGTGCTGCACGAACCGGCATTTCAGATCACCACATTTGAGCCCGCGTTGACGTGATCTCATCCCCCACTCCACCATCCCCGGTACGATGCACGGAGCCAATCAACCCAACCACAACGTTGCAAGTAGCTTTGTGTCTGATACTACTCTGCTACCAATCAATTTTCATGCGATCTCACTGCTGAAATACTTTCTCCTCTCTATTTCATAGGGGCTCCGCTATCGCCTCCTTCTACCACTGCAATGTCGAGGCCCCCAGACAGCCGGCCCCCATGAACGGCATCCACCCTAATCTTGCCCCGAAGCAGCTCCAGGTCTCCTGTCTCATCTCTCCAACCTGTAGGCCTTCGGCATAAAGTTGCCGGTTTTTCGTTGGTCTGAAAGCCGTCCTCTCCGCGGAAGTATTTGAGCCCACTTGATGTCCAGTGGGGTTCCATGACGAAGCTCCGAATTGCACCATCGTGGATCGCGAAGTTGTGATGGCAGACTTTGCATGCGATGCTAGTCAAACATGCTATTTGCGTTCGCAATAAATATTCTAGGCATAAATTAAGTTTACGAGGAGCCTCGCTCTTTCGCACCACCGTCTTGTTCTCATTGGTACCCCCAAGACTAGCCAACTGTCTTGGCGCTTTACCATGTCTGGCACGCCAAGCGTCAACTCTGCCATTGAGCAGAAGGGCGAACGTCTCAACGTCGACGACAAGTCTGCAGCTTCTAGCTCAAAGCAGGCTGCCTCGGCAGAGGTCTGGGCAGTTGGAGGCTCAGCGGAATTATACGAGCCGATTCCAGAGTACGAGGGTCGACATCGCTACGACCCGAAGGCAGAATGGTCCGAGAAGGAGGAAAAGAAGCTGGTTAAAAAGGTGAGGCCCTCAGAGGCGGTGGCTTGAGTCGTTGCGGAACCATGGTTTTCTGACTTTACGCAGCTTGACTACAGAATTTGCAGCTGGGTCTGTTTGATGTTTTTCGCATTGCAACTTGACCGCGGCAACATTACGCAGGCGAACTCTGACAACATGCTCGCTGATCTTGGTCTCTCAACGAACCAGTACAACTACGGCATGACAATCTTCTATCTCTGCTTTCTCTGTGCCGAACTGCCCTCGCAGATGCTCTCGAAGAAGCTCGGCCCGGATGTATGGATCCCCATTCAAATGGTCCTGTGGAGTACTGTCGCCATCTGCCAATGTGCCATCAAGGACCAGACAGGCTTCTACGTGACCCGGGCGCTGCTCGGTCTGATTGAAGGTAGGCCTGAATCCTTTCCTCCCCGAGCCCCAGGTACTGACCTTCAACAGGCGGCTTCATTCCGGATGCCATCCTCTATCTCTCGTACTTTTACACGAGCAAGGAACTGCCCGTCCGTCTCAGTTGGTTCTACGTCACGAGCAACGCGTTCACTCAGACGATTGCAGCTTTTCTTGCATTTGGTATTCTTCACTTGCGAGGTACGGGAGGCTGGGAGGGTTGGCGGTGGTTGTTCGCCCTTGAAGGTGGTTTGACAGCAGTGATCGGCATCCTCTCTTGGTTCTATCTCCCACCAAGTCCGACTCAGAGCGCTGGTGGACTGCGGGGCAAAGATGGCTGGTTCTCTGAGCGGGAAGAGATTATCATGGTCAATCGCATCCTGAGAGATGACCCAAGCAAGGTGCGCTCACACTACATGAGTCTCATACTTCTGATTGCTAACCTTTCCCAAAGGGTGGAATGCACAACCGACAAGGCTTGACTTTGAAGCTGCTGTGGTCCGCTCTCTGCGATTGGGACCTTTGGCCGATTTATCTCTACGGCTTCACGCTTCTCATCCCAGTTCAGCCGGTCACAGCGTACATGACGCTCAACCTGCGAGCGCTTGGGTTCGACACATTCCAAACCAACCTACTGACTGTCCCGGCATATGTCCTCTTCTTCATCCAATTGATAGGCTGGACTCAGTTCTCGGAGCGCTTCAACAACCGTTTCTTCACCGTTTTCATTTACTCCGTTTGGGTATTCCCACTTCTGCTGGCACTGGAGTTGCTCCCAAGCACAGCAAGCCCCTGGAGTTGGTATGCGGTGACTGCTTTGACAATCGGATACCCCTATGTTCACTCTATTTTGGGTATGTGTGTCTTGGACCGAAAGTCTTGATTTTGGACTAACGCACAAACAGTTGCCCTGACATCTCGCAATGCGGGCACCGTACGCACACGTACCGTCGGAAGCGCAGTGTACAACATGACAGTGCAAGCGAGCAGTATCATTGCTTCCAACGTGAGTCATGATCTCCCACCCAAAAGCAGAAAGCAGGATTGACATTCAGCAGATTTACCGTACCGATGACGCACCCTTGTACCGCCGTGGAAACAAGGTCTTACTTGCTATCACTGCCTGGAACGCCGTGTTTGCCTGGATGATCAAAGGCTACTACATGTGGAGAAATAAGAAGCGTGATGATATTTGGAAGAACATGAGTCAACAGGAGAAGGACAATTACTTGGCAACAACGAAGGACGAGGGAAGCAAACGATTGGATTTCCGATTTGCTCATTAGAGGGCAATGAAAGGAAATGATGCTTTCAAACAAGTAAAAACAAAATGAGAACCTTTGCAGCGAAAATTTGTAATGCGACGTCTTTGAATTTAGACAACGGGACCCTTTTTGGGACCCTTTTCACATGAAACGTACGATAAGATACTGGGATGAGGCCGCCTCAGTTCCTGGAATATCAACATCAATTCTTTCTCTTCGGTATAACGTGCGGAGTTTATAATTTTATAGGAGGAAATGCAATGAGGAAAAGTCCGACTCTTGGTAATCATATATGCCTTGGCTCTGAGTGATTTTCGATGGTTCTACAAGGTTGTGACCTTGTGTATAGGAAACAAATGATGAACAACTTTCTATTAAATTCCATCGACTCCTGTCGATAATAATCGTGTTAGTCTTTTGCACAGGCCTTGAAGTCAAGGTTTGAACATAAAAAGCTAGTTTGGGGGTATGACCAGACAAACTCTTTTGAACCAGACTTCCAGTAAGGTAGGTTCTCTCCTACCATCGCCCTAACATTCTATTTCGTCCTACCTAGCTCTTTAAAGGCGTAGTTCACCAGACGCTAGGCCGTAGTTTCGTCTTGAATGATCCTAAGAAAGCTTCCGCTTGAATTTTGATCATTCTTTTCATACTGTAACCAACAATTTTGCCCTACAATACCACAATATCTCCATGTCACTCAGCAGCCGACTTTCCACCTTACTCTCTGCTACAATCTTTTGTTTCCTGCTTTAACTCCAGGTTTGTCGAAACTCAGGTCGTGCAAACGCGATGTGAAGGGCTGCTTTTGACGCCTCGGAAAGTCTTGCCTTTGGCCATGGCAAGATACCTTACCCTCACATCACCGGCGCTTACGTCCAGCATGATCTTTGAGCTGATGCTACCGAGGATATTGTGGCGAAGCCCTGTCAGAATAAATACTCCGGAGCTCGCATATGGTGCCTACTCAGAGTCTAAGACCACTCAGCCCGCTGGGCTGCTGTCACAGCGTTGCGGGGCGGGACGATACTGATAAGGTCTCCGAGGTCATATAATCAAAAATAGGCAGTTGGTCGCTTCAAAAGATCAGAAATTCCAATTGCTGGATTGAGCTTTCGTCGTTTGTTGGCGCGCCAAAATGCTCCAGACACGCCTAGGACACGCTGCAAAGTGCCCTTGTCGTAAGCACTTCGCAGGACAATCTGTTGCGGGGGTAATCATCCCCCAACGTATTAAAGGCAACGAAAGCCCCGCGTCTGTGGCATGATCTGTCCCAGCCTGATATGTCCAAATCTGACGGTCAATTGATAAAACAACTACTCCGTTGCAAGTTGCACGCCTGCACCGATCTTTGGCTCACACCAACCTCGAGATTATTCTCAAAATGACCAACCACGGGATCATTGCGCTCATAACCTCCATTCTCTGTGTTGGTCTTCTAATAATAATATACGGACTGTTCTGTGGACCTCGGCCATGGCACCGACTGCTCCGGCTCTGCTCATCGCGGAGAAGACGACGAATCTCATCCTACACAGGCATGTATGATGATGAAACAATAACAACTTACTATGAACATTCAGGCGAGTGAACAATGATGGCTTAAGTAGTATCTTGTAAACGGAAGAAGCGCTGACGAAACCGTAGTCAAAACACCACCACCGCGCCCGCCAGCCCCGGCGTTCTTTCCATGGAACCGCAGACCGCCAAAAAGACCTCGAAGAACATCAATGCCTTATCCTAGGTATCCAGAACATACCCCAGGTCCGCCGCCTGCGTCTGCGAGACCGGCATTTATTGTTAATGAACATAGTCATTGGGAGGTAAAGGTGCATGGCCCGCGGAGAACGCAGAGACTTTCACAGAGACCTTTACAGCGACAGGGACCTCTACGGAGACCCCCACCGGGCGGAAGACATGGTCGGATCAATAATGCAACAGTCCAACATCACGAGAGCCCCGAGAGAGTAGAACATACGAGGGCGCCGCGGCCACGTCCAAAGTGAGAATGCAGATATTTCGAAAGCTCCTTATAACACAGCTACGGAGCAATCAATCAGGGCTTTTGGGTCGTTTTTCATGGTAGAAGTGCTTCACAGCGGCATTCCGGTTTCGTTTGGTCCCTCGCTTCAATTGTTGTTGCAGAGTTGGCGGCAGAAACCTATTTATTAATCACGAACCTCCTCGTGGCACCAATGTTGGTGATCACCCAATATCTTGAACCCGTTGCTAGCTTCTCGAAACATGGCTAAAGACTCTTCGTTCCGATCTTGATACAAAATAGAAAGTCCGAGCATAGCTAGTGCGTCGAGTGCTTTTGGGCTTCGTGGGCCACAAACGTCAGCAAAGCCGTTTCGCGCTATTCTCGACATCCTTTCAGCTTCAGCAAATTTCTCTTGGCTAAGAATCGCCCTCGAAGCAAGGAGCAAAGCCGAGTAGTAACCCATGCTCTTGTCTCCGTGAAGATTCCGATATTCCCCGGCAACTTTGAGTGCAAGCGCCTCTGCCTCTGCGTATTCACCCCGCATTGCACAAAGATCACTTCGATTTGTCATGCAATGAAGAGCATCAGGGCTTCTTTCCGTACCGTTGGCTTTGAATATTTCCATCATCTCGGTGTAGACCTCATTAGCATCGTCTAGTTGCCCACGGATCTGGAGAACAAGTGCCACGTTCATTTGGGCAGTGAGAGTATGGGAGTGCCTGGGGCCAAAGTTCCTGTTTTCCAGATATCCGTGGTATGCCGTACGAAATAATCCTTCAGCCTCAGAGACGTGGTTTTTCTGCAGACAGAGATCCCCAAGACTGGTCATCATGGACAGGGCATTCGGGTGGCCTGGCCCAACAACGCTTATCAATCGGTTCAAGGCTTTCGTCTGCTCTTCTTCGGCCTCCTTGTATTTACCCTGTTTCTTCAAAAGCTTTGCGAGAGAGCTGAGGCTCAGGATGGTGTCTGGGTGATTCGGCCCGAGATTCTTTTCTCTAGACCGACAAACGCGTTCCATGATACCATTAGCGTAGCTCAGCCTACCTCCATGCTGGAGAAGAGCCATCGCTAAGCTTCTGGCGCTCTCCAATGTGTCCTGGTGTTCGAAGCCTAATAGACGCTTTCGGTTTTCGAAGTTTTGTTCGGACCTTTCGATAGCACCGGTGATATCACCTTCGCGGCGAAGAACATCGACGAGGATTGCTGTAGTCTCCAGACTTGACTCAGCCATCAGCTCCGATGCAGGTACAGGTATCTCCAATAGGTCAAGAAGCTCTTCTTTGGCAGCGGTAATCTTCCCAAGTCCCTTAAAAGATAGAGCCAAAGCTTGCCGAGATCTTATTGCCGAACTCGAAGTAGGATCGAGTTTCATCCAGCCATCTTTAGCTTTCTGGCTTAATTGCGACGCTTCAACGAAGTCTCCTTTTCGTTCCAAAACTTGTGATAAACAAGTGAGAGCCTTCAGATACCGCGAAATACCGCGTTTTTGTAATCTCTCACAAAAGGACATGCAATTCCGATACCATCGCTCAGCCAAGTCGTAATGGCCGGTCTCGAAATAGAGAAAGGCATACTTCTCGGCCATTTCCTCGTCATTCATGTTCGAGATTGCAAATATTGCAACATCTTGCTCCAGAAAAGCCGTCAAATGAGGTACTAGCATGGACCTTGTTGCGTGATGTTTCTGGTCTCGGAAGTCGGAATTGATCATCGTTGACAACCCAAATGACACTGCCGATCTAGCCCACCTGCGCAAATGAGCCCCGCAGATGTACTTCAGATCTAGACAGATCCACTGATGAACCGACCTGTGAATAGAGAATTCTTGGGTCGTTCGATTGTATGTGGCAAGCGAATAGTTGGCCAACATGATGACAGCTGTTCTCAAACGGCTGCGGTCCCATTTCGGGAGCGAGTTGCTATCAGTGGCTGTAGCGAAAACAGAAGAAAGGCCTCCCAAAAGTCCTCTCTTTGGTTGAAATCTTCGAGGCAACCTCTCAAACACCTCCAATGGGATAGATCTATAATCTAACAAAGAGCAAGCCATGAGAATATCTAAGGCATCTGCTGCTTCGGGTGCCTTGTCCTCTTGGCTTCGTGCTTGAATCATATCACGGCACGCAATCGTCGTTCCGTAAAGCCATTGATAGCCAGGTGTCGCTTCTTTACCTGTCGCTGTCGAGAACAACCCTCGCTGGTACTCTCCAAAGTCGCTCAGAAAGTTGTGAAATGTCCAGTGCCCATTTCGGATCATTGTTCCCGCATGGATGATTGCGAGAGGCAAGGCTTCGAGCCTTTCGCATATTTTCTTGGCTTTAACGAGACAACTCTCACTAGCTGTCTCCTGAGATGTTTGAACAAGGAGTGTTGTCGCATTCTTCAAGTCCAGTCCATGAATGCTCTGTTGCTTTGATAAGGAGCGTTGGTCATTGTCGGTGACTGGGAGAAGAGTCGTGCATATCGTGGTGATCAGGATGGCACCACGGCCTCCTGATGGAAAGCAATCTCTCAGATCTATTTCAGGATTGTTAGCTCCGTCAAATACGAGAAGCCAATGTCGATCAGCCGATAAATTTGCCAGCCAATTCTTGACAATCTTCTGAGAGGTCTTATCATTGTCCGCAATTGACAGTATGTTAGCTCTTCTGCCGATTTCTTGGAAGCTTTGATTGATTGAAGCATAGCTTCGAGCATCTATCATAGCCACAGCCCAGAACCTGCTGTCTTTCAGCTTTTTCGCGCAATCCAGCATAAATGTCACAGACGTACCGTGTGCGATGTGTTTCTGCGAACTTGAGAGAAATTTGCGTCTTTCCCGTGCCGCCAATACCCTGAATCACGAAAACTTTTCTGTTTTGGTCGATTTTGTGCTCACATTTGGAGCCGGGGATTAGATGAGTCTCGACAGCTAACAAGACGTCTTCTCTGCCTACAAAGTTTGGCACGCACGATTCTTCTACGTAATATCGCGGCTGCCTCTCATTTTCGGCTATATCATCGCATTAGCTTCTGTCTTTAACCTCTCGGAAAGTCTTGAATGGAGGTATTCGATGGGCTGTCTTTCCTTACCCTCAAATGATGCGATGATATTCTGAACGTGCACATTTTGTGTCAGAGTCCTATATATTTTGTTAGCCTGAGAGTGCTCCGGTAAAGATACAAACAATTACGCTGTGAGTCTCACGAATTATTGACTGATCCCTGAGCTACAATCGTGGATTTGTGATTGTCGAACTGATAAGTCTTGTCGCCCATGATGACGTCGATGGCAGCTTTCCCTCTCTGGCGCGATTGATGTTTGCGATTACCTTGTTGCGAGACTGGAAAATCTGACAGCTGCGGGGCGAATTTCTGTCTTTCGACCATGAGAGAAAGGTGCCAATTAGATGTCTTCCCTCGTTTAATCCTGTTCCTGCAAGAACCTCGCCAGGTGACCGTTGTCAGCCAACCCCCATCTTCCGACTCCATGCACGTAAGATTACCAGCTCTCAAGTCTGCAGCCGATGGTGGTGACATGGGAGAAGGTAGCCATTCAACTCTTGAAAGTCATGAGCAATTTAACGCGGGGTCGGGTGCCCAGTGCAGGCGTGCTGCCTCACTTATGCAGCTGAGGAGCCACTGAACCACCCGGCGATGGTGTTTACTCGATGGCCGCCATGATTCGAATGATAACACTACATTGTGCATCTACAGCCCATGGCGTGCGTGTCGTTCTTAACAAGTCAGCAATGAGGATGACCCACCTTTGAATCTCACTCACAGATTTCGCGCAGTTCCCATGTTCCATGTTCTCAATTATACATACCTACCCTAGTAGTAAGCATGCGTGTCAATGCCAATGCCAATTCGGAGTGTGCAGAAGGCGGGGTCATGGGCTGATCTCCGTGAACCTATACCAGCTTCATCCTGAGACGCCTTCCAATCCTGTTTGGCTGAGTCTTTCCATCCAGCGTAAGGATACATGAAATGCAGATATATGTATGATTCTCTCCGCCCGCGTTTCACGCCATTGATAAAGATCAAGTCACACGCAAGAATTTGCCATACCGAGTCTCTAATAGGGGAACAGACGCTCATCACTTTTTTTTACTGAACCCACAGTGGTAGTATACTGTTCTTCCGTCCGCTCTCCCCCAAGATGGTTGAAGCCGTAGGAGCAGTTAGTGGCGCGGCCACTCTTTTCAATACCGCTGTCACCTGTTTCGACTATGTATATGTCGCCAGGCATAGCTGGCCCCGACTCCAGTCGCTTTTTCTGCAACTTGACAATGCCCAGTTGAGGTTGACGCGCTGGGGTGAGGCTGCGGGCCTGAGTGACGCCAACATCGTTGACGACGAATCAATTCGGTTCACCGGTTCTTTCATGCTCAACGAGGAGGAGGAACGCAGGGCAGTCGCCATCTTTACCGTCATATGTTCTAGATTTGACGAATGCCAGAAAGCTTGTCTGGGCTTCAGGGGCGGCAGGAGGGAGGATGATCCGAAGGTCAAGGAGGTGGAAACACCACTTTCGGGGGCACCCTGGTTGCCAATGAACAAGTATCTACACGACACCATGCGTAAGATTTCCGAGGGTCGGAAGAACAAGATTTCGCCGCTTCGGAAAGTCAAGTTTGCAATTTACGATGAAAAACACCTCCGAGACCTACTGAAGGATATCAACGACCACATTGACACCTTATATCAGATCTTCCCACTCTCTGACGATGCTGAAACTCTGGAGAAGCAAGATCGACAGACGAAATACGAGATGAGCCAACTGCTCTCTGTGCTAGAGTCTTTGGGCAATGCTATCAAGGGCCGTGACAAAGTACTTGGGTCGGCAATTGGATGTATTTTGGACCAAAAGGCAAGCTCAAGCTCTCCAACATCCTTTCTTGGATGATCACAATACTGAACATCTTGATATGTGATTTATGTCAGCTCACGCTTTCCGTACAGAACGATATGCGAATGACTTTCAACAATGACCAGGCAATGGTTGTCGTTCAAGGCCAGATGAACGGTGGAGTGGCCGACCAAAAGAATGAAATACACAACAAGTAGGAAATGTTAGTTGCGCCAAGGTATTTTCGTCCGACTATTGGATACTAGACCAGGCAGCGACAGAACATCATTCGCATGGATAGGAAGCATCGCAGGATCGGACAATGCAACTCATCTAGGCTCATCATTATAGAACTAGAATGACTTGATGCCCACACACGTCCCAGAGATATTAGAAGCAAATGAAATGGCAGTAGGAAGATTACTATCCCAGAAGACGTTTACTCTGAGAAGTTGACGTAGTTACAAATAACCTTTTATGCCTTAAGAGCCCATAAAATTCACAAATGAAGTTGAAACTTGAAGGCCATTTTAATTTCTAAAACAACAATGCCACCTGGCCACCCATCAGTCCCGTTGCTTGGTCGTCGCCTTAAAGATTCTACAGCCAGTCTCGATCAGTAACGCAGACACTGAGAGACCCGACGTTTCCGCAAGCCACAGAATGACACTGGGATTTGCACAACTGAGGCAACAAAAGTTCATGTGAAGGTCAACTATTTGAATGGATCCTCTTACGTATCAGCTGGGAAAGAAAATTTCAGGGGTTTTGTGTCTTCGACTTCATATAGAACGTGTTGTGTTTCGCCGAGGAAGGAGTGTCATGGAATTGTCGATAGAAATCTATTCAATCCTCGCACATGACAGCAAGCGCGATCACGGAGAGTATGCTGAGCGCCGGGCGGCTTTTGACCAGATTCAGCGCTTAAATCCGGCAATAGAGTCGAGTAATAAGCCATACCCCAAGCTTTGGAAGAATTTGACGAAACCCGGCAGCTTTGAGGCCCAGCGATTCATCCGTGAGCCTCCAGACCTTGCCTACACCCACATACCCATTGGTCGGAACCTTTATTATTTGAGTTCTTTTGATCGACGCGGTAGGCCTCTGCGTTCATTTGCTCTCGTGCGACAGGGTGATGATAATGATGTCAAAGTCTGCGTCGCTGCCTTCAACGGATCTAGGTTCACCGGCGCTTTCGAGGCCGACTGCTATTTCGGAGACTTTGTATCCAGCTCCGTGTCAATTCTACGTCCATAGCACAAGTGTAACAGTCCTTGTCCTGGGGACTTGACTCAGACTTGTGGTGGTCGTGGACGCTCCCCCACCTTGTCGGCAGGATCTAAGCAGTCAACTGACAATCTAAATTCGACTCGACACCGACCAAACCAAGCCAACTATCTCATCAATTATCAGCACCAGGCTCAGCTCGATTTCTACAGCTCGATTTCCACAGTCACAGATTCTCCGGCCTCCGTCGTCAGAATCGTGGGTATATCCTTAACATCGCTTGGCGAGGTAGTAAGTATGCAACAGCCGACAACTGACAGCGGAACGCTTATCCTTTCCCCAAACTTCTGCACCAAACCAGGGGATGTGCCTGCACATATAATCTGCAGCATCATCACGAAATCGTGGGTGGTTGTGGCCGTGGCCACAGCATGCCTACCTACTGTGCTGAACTCGGCTAGCCACTGCTTTCGAGGCCATAAATATATCTAGAAAGAGTGCTTTGACCAGAGCAGACCTGAAATCGACATAAGTACATCAAATTGGACGAGTCCGCATTGCCGTCCCTCACTGGAGACCTTACAACTCCGTGACCTTCTGTCTTGCTCGGAAGCTTGCGGATGACAGGCAGGATTTTCCCATCATTCGAGCGACTTGGAGCATAGATCCAGGTCCAATTGACGATTATCTGCCTGGGCAGATACAACAAGTCAGAAGGGGCCGTAAACGACTGCAATGGCTAGGATGTTGCTCAGGGAATCCTGGCAGTTCTTGGGTGGATGAAGTTGAGCGGGTTCGACTGACACGGAGCATGGGCTCCATTGAGGAGAGTTTGGGAGCAATTACGCAAGGATGGCTGGGCTAGCCTTTGACTTTGTTCATGCCGACCATCAAATGAATGTAAATTCAATGACGACGCATCGGACGCGCCCGCAATTTCTCCAGAATTCATACACGTGGATCATTATTTCTTGATTTCTACCTTTGTGATGGGCATTTTCAAACATCATCACTACCCACTTGATACCTTGTAAAGGTAAATTCTACACTGAAATGTGATCTGCTGTCGGCTTCTCGGATTGCCAGAACGACCTTTTTCCGTCACGACTCAGTTCCGTCTCAATGCCTTTGACGGTTTCTGCGTAATCAATCACAGCAAACAGAACATAGACCACATTCATTGTCCTGTATCATTACAGTCAGTCGAAAACCAGCACTATCAAGACTCTAGGCGGCATACCAGGTCACGATGCCAGCTCCTATGGTAGCACGGCCCACTGCGCCTCTTTTGCGAAGCTCTGGTGAAGTCTCGCAGAGACGGCGGTCTGGATTCATCCCGATCAAGCTCATTTGTCGCTGAGTTTCTGGGACGGCAATGTAGATACAAAAGCCGAGGGTAAACACCGCAAGACTCAGTACCGATATCCGAGGATCTGAGCCGCGATGAATACTTGAGTTGACTCCTATCTCGACTGCGAGAAAAATTGCCTGGGATGTCGTTGGCTCAAATTACTTGTGAAAAGATCAGTCGCTTACTTACCGTAAATATGAACAGAGTCTCGTTGAGGGTAGGATACTCGAGTCCATCTCCCTGAATGCTGGTGGCCAAGTCGTGACTCTTCCGCAGCCATGATGAATAGTACACGCCAAACATGGTGAGAGCCAATGCGCAAATCTGAAATAGCCGCACAGAGTACATGGAAAATCTGAATAATGTCCTCAAAGCCATGATGGGTGTTGAAGAATATGAGAAGGCTCTAGGAAAATAATCAAGTTGGCAATGCTGAGGAAGAACGTGAACATCAATTGATTAGCGAATTCGAAGTAGAAAGCGCTTTCTCTAAATACTTCGCTTCAATACGACCAAACACATGAATCTCGATACGCCAAGCGCCGGGTGGATATAAACGTGGAACTGATCGCCTCGTCAGCTCGGCGCGACAAACTCACAACAGCCATTCGCGTCAGCTTAGCGTCCCTACCAAGTCTGCTGCGCAATGGCGCAGCTGCGACCAAGACCTCTCGGTTTCTTGGCCCGACTGACTCAGCCCAAGTACTCCTATACTAATCAATGCTTGGAGGTGTGCCGGAGGCTCATGGTCAACGTAGTCAAGGATCATCCCTAGTTGCGATACGCCTTGGCGATCCGGACGATCGGGACACGGATGCCGCTTAACCAGGTTCATCTCATCACACACAGAATTTGATAAAGTGTGGGCGATGAGCACCTTGATTGACAGCTTATCGAGCAACCCTAGTAGAAAAGGCCCAAGAGGTGGACGAAAAAGGGACTCAGTACGAGTTATGGAAAGCTTGCGATGGTTCCGGCCGGCAATGGAGTCTCCGACCATCCAAATGGTGAACCTTATTCATGCTGGCAGCGTTTCCGGATAGTTGATGTCAAAATTCGTCGTGAAGACAAGGCATATCATACATCACGGAGCACTTATTCATGTGAGAAAATTAAATCTCTTTTTCCTGGACTAATAACTATTACTGGCCCGAGACATCACGAGACACGGGCTCGGCAGGCGACGAGACCTCCAGGGATTCTTTCCTCAGACCTCTGGAGGCCGCTGCAGAGATGTCTCGGGCGTTCCAGTATTGCGCAATTCCCTCCATTTGCACAAGACCCCCTGACTTCATCACCTGGGTTGGCCTCGATCAATAGCGGTAGCGGGTGCGACCGTGATCGTGGCCATCAGCATAAAAGTTGCTGCCCCACTGACGGCGCCGACGACCTTGGAAAACTTGGTCGCCCCAAAAGTAGTCACTCTTTGGACCACCAGTCCAGCCGATCCACTCGTCCTTGAACCGCTTCATTAACTCTTCCTTCTTGCAAAGGAACTCCTCGCGCTTGACCATGATGAGGTAGTCGTTGCCAGAAACCCACTGGGTCTCTGTGATTTCCCTGTCGACGAGGGTTCGCCACTCATCCTTCTGGGAAGATTCCCACTCATTCCAAGTGCTACCGCTGGACTGAGAGTTGCCCATTTCAATTGATGTTTGTCTGGGGTTGTAGAAAGGTTTGATTGTGCGGATGGATAGGTTGTAGATTGTAGTGGATGGTTGTTGATAAGTATAAGCTCAGAGGCTAGTAGCTGGCGTCTTGATGAAGTTAGATTCTGAGGGTAGATGAAAGATAAATAGTAGGCAGATAGTAAGACAAATGGTATGATGGATGGCAAGATAGATGGTCCGAATAGAACTTTCGATCTGTCTTTAGGTTGTAAAGATGATTACAAGGGCATGACTTACTTGCGTGTGGTAGGTGGTAGAGTGTAGAGTGGTAGTTGTTGTGTGTGGTAGTTGTAGTGAGTAGTAGATTTTAGTGTGTGAAGAGGATGGATAGGAAGGAAGATTGAGCCCAGATTAGAGAAGCTTAGGGCCGTACTTATAGTCTTTTGATGAGAACATTGATAGCTACTCAACTTCCGGAGATTCTATCTTGTGTTGATTTCAAAGCATCGTGTGTGAAGCTTTTGGTCGATCTGGGTGTATCTCCGATATTGCCAGGCCACAGAGGTCGGTCGGTGACTTAATGTTGCTGGTGATCCGTATACGTCGTGAAGAGAGTTTCAAAAAGCTACGGTGACGAGGACGCATCCTGTTAGAACTTTTCGTTCCCAAGTTACTTGATAGTTTCTTCAAAGCTCAAAAGAATGTTCTTATATAGTTGTGACTCCCAATGTCGGCAAGATTCCTCTTTTCTCCCTCTTCTCCCACATCCATCTGAGAATCGTCACCAACGTATCTGAAATTCCCGTAGAAAGACCGTCAGGCTACTTCAGCGCTACTACCCAATCAAACAAATCGAGGGTATTCTTGATATTTGATAGATTTAATTAGGATTTATAAGAGAAATATTTATATTATTTTAATAATTATTAAATATTTAGAGAGCTTTAAGCTCTTAGAATCTAAATATAATATAATTTACTCTGAAGGTTATATATTATAGGTGTTATACTACTTAGAACCTTTCAAGTAGAATATTTGAATTTGATTGATTTGATCGGTTAGTAGCGCTGGGCTACTTCCAGCGCTCAGAGAGCATCCAGTCATCGCGTGACGACTTCTTTCCTTCCTTTCTCTCGTCTAAATTTGGTTGTCCACCCATTCATCAGTCATCATGACCGAGCAAAACCCACAACCACAAGGCCCAAACAGGGACTCGGCTCCCTGTGAGCTTGAGAAGAAGGTGCCCGCTTCCAACTTGACCTCAAAGGGGTAAGTTCTCTTTGTGGCTATTTCATGCCAGTCTCTACTTGCTAACGATATACTTTCAGGGAGACTCGATCATGTTCGTCCTTGTCGGTGCAAGACGGGCAGGATGCCATTGCCGAGGGCAAACTTCAGCTCAACTTTGATCCTCGGACTTTTGAGCCACCAGAGGGAAGTTCAAGCAACGATATCAGTCAGGGCTCAAAAACTTCGGTGCCTGAGAATTCCGAGTCGATGGGCAATCTTGTCAGCCACACCTTATTCTCTGACATGGCGCCCACTAGCTATCCGAGGATCATCTCCGAAAAGGATTGCGACCTTCGCAACAAACCGCCAGACAACAACAAGTCGCCAGACAATAAACCACCAGGCAACAAACAGCCAGATGGTACAACAAAAGGTCGCTGTCGGAGATTCACCGCGTAGCACGAATTAAGTTTATGTGGAAATATCACCTTGAGATTGACCCTGAGGGCCTCGAGAATAGAATTCTTTTCAACTCATATTGACTCATTACACGGATTTGTCACCTCTCACCCATTACGAGCAGGACCTTGGCGACCTTGTGCCCAGTCCTCTTCCCTCACCAAACAGCATCATTAGTCTCTGATGTTGAAGCCCATACTCTCAATCTCCGGAAACAAGGCTCGTATCGACTTGTCTAAGCTCCAATTTGCCCCATTAGTAGCGTGTTCGAAAAATGCCCGACTCAACATCCTCCGCCCTGTCAGAGGACAAATGTCTACGGCAGCCTCAATACTGTACGGCCACCCAACACTGGTACCTCCGGTGTCCGTCGTACCTGGAGAGAGCCAGTCTCGGAATTTGTCGATCAGCGCATCGCGGATAGCAGGACTATCAAGGTGGTCAGAGCATGAGTATCGTGCGTATCACCAAGACACCGAGGACTTACTGTGGTACGAGGTCAATGTTCATACGATGTGGCATGAATCGCTGGTGCTTCGTCGGGCGGATCATCTCAGGCATTAGTGCGTAATTTGTTGCCGTAGGGAGAATGTTCCACTTCGATCGGTTAGAACTACGTGCACAAAGCTCTCTACGTCGGTTGCGGCAGTTTACATACCCTCATGTACGTAGTGTAAAGGGCACAGCTCGCCAGCTGAACGAAAACATCGTATCCCTCAACATTCTTCACTAACTCACAAGCCCAGGAGTGAACGTCGTATGCGTCCCCAGGCTCTCGATCTCGGAAGAAGAGCTCGAGATCAATCTGATCCTGGGGCCCAAGGACCTGGTACGAAGGCACACCGTTCGATAGCATTTCCATTGCAGCATCCCTATAACTGTAAAATATGTTCGATAGTGGGCTGCCGTCGGATGTCATGAATGAGGGTAGGCGGTACTCTTCGGTTCGCATGTTCATCAGTTGCCGTGCTTGCACTGCTGGGGGGTAATGGTTCGCTTTTATGGCGCTCGAAAGAGGCAGGTTTCCGAAGCCTTCGACAGCGCCGGGTGGGAGAATATGACACGACCGATTTTCTTGGTCCGCCTTGATTATGACTTTGAGAAACTCGGAACATTTCTGGTCCTCTTCCTCGGGGGGCACGGACGCTGTTCCTGCTGGTGGCGAGTCTTTGCTGAGGTCTATCGAATCGACCTGGCCAAGCAGGTAGTGCATCTTGTCAACATGCCACGGGACCGCGCCTGTCGGAAGCACGACGCTGTCGTCCTGCTCGACCTTGACACTGGCCGAGGAACTTTGCGAAGGCTTTCGGTCGAACACAGTGCTTGACCCATCACTAGAACTCTCGTTGCTTGGTTTTCGAGGCTTCTGTTTGCCCTGCTTGAGTCGTCGGAGAATCGTTTCCGGCAATTCGTCCGCAGCCAGCTGGGCCATGATATCGGCTTTCATGGCGTTGTCGGCCGACTTCAACAGTTCGAAAAGAGACTTGAACGTGTCGACCTGACCAACCAATTGGCGGTTTGCCCTGCGGATACCCTGCATCCTCGTCTCGCCATGATCGACCTCGTAAACGCAATCATGATTAGTCGCCGCACACCGGCCACACGACGGTCGTTGGCCATCACACTGAGGTTGATTTATCAGTAACGGATCACAAGACGTTCTGCATGAGACGTACCTTTTGCCGTAACTTTCGGCATGACCCGCACGCTATACGCCCTTTGGGTCCCTTGGAAGCTGGACTTGGGGGCGATGTGGGGAGGGGCTTATCATCGGAATGCCCACGAGGGCGGATGGGACGCAGATTGGTCGACATGAGCTGTTATGATACGGTGATTGCCTTTCCGATGTCGGGTGTGCACAGAAGCATTGTTGCTCGTCGTTTTCTTAGACGCACGTGTCTACGTCCGCGGTCCAGCTGAGGTTGTTGATCAAGACAGTCATCCAAGGCAAAGAACTTCAACGACGCATGTTGTGGGCCAAAAGACCCTAAGTAGTAGCACTACCGAAACCCCTTGGACTAGCGCTGCAGGGTCTGGCGCTCGCGATCCAATGGGACGGTGCCAGTATCTCACTTGGTA